TTGAATAAATAATTTAAAACCGCGAAAACTGAATGAATGGTCAAAATTTATTTTCAATACCATGTTCTATATATCTCTTATGGTTTATTTCGCGACAAAAACTTTAGAATTTGTCGATGCATATGTTGCAATAAGCATTTTGAAATCACCCGAATTTGAATATTTTCTGAACAATTTTTTTGTTATTGAAAAGAAAACACATACATAAACAAATAAAGATGACATATTAAGCCAAGAAAATAAAAAAATTGAAATCATATGGTAGTTCTGCCCTACCTTGAATTCATTGTACCATGGACTCTACTCCTCAACCTTGATTTCCATTCCAAATTTAAAATGTAGTACATTTTAGTACTTTTCGTACAATTATTTTGCGAATTTCCAAACACCCGTTGGACCATACACTCCATCAGCAACCCTCATTTTAAATTGAAGACTTCTAGCTCTACTGCTTCCTCAAATATAAAGGGTACTATATTTAGTACCTTTTACTACTTTTCTAATACGAATTTCAAAAGCCTCACCCAAAATGTCATGATTATAGCTGCAGCCGTTTCGTCTGGGCGTTGATGAATCGTTAAATCAGTCAGTTACTTTACTGTTGATTGAGAAACCAATTATAGGGTGTTGCTCTGCGGTATATTGCCCCATTCCCGGCGAAGCACTTGCTTGAGGTGATCAACACCTTGGGAATTTTTAGTGCCAACTTTGCTTTCCAAAATACTCCAGACACAATAGTCCAATGAATTGGTATCCGGTCATTGTGCGCTTTTGGTGGCCATTGTGCGCTGGAAATGAAGCGAGAAACCTCATTTTGTAACCATTCTTGGATGGCGCGTGCTGAGTGCGTTGGTGCTGAGTCCTTTTGAAATGTCTAAGGTTGGCGGCCAAAATGTTTGCGTGCCCAAGGCCTTAATACATCCTCCAGAATATTTTCGCGATAATATTCGGCATTTATTCTTATGCCGCGGTCGATTAATACGGGCGGAGAGCGACCATCGGTTGTTATGGTCCACAACATTGCCATGGTCCAAACCATTACCATGCCCGGCGCTTGACGATCAATTTGTTTCTTTACAAACTGCTGGACAACGAATGTTTTCTCTTCGGAGAAAACCAAATTCGGCTGTTCACCACTTTCGGCCAAGTGAAGCAACTCTTAAGCTCTTTTGAGTCTATTTTCTTACTGATGCGGTGTTAGTTCTTGCACTTTTTGGAATTTAAATGGCTTTACCCCGAGCTCATTTTTCAATATTTGCCGAATGGAATATTGCGATATGTTCAGCTCACGAAGCATTTTTCGGCCACTGCGACGACGGTTTCGATCGAGTTGCTTCTTTACTTTTCTAACCATTTCTGCTGATGTTGCTGTTTTCTTCCGTCCACTTCCTTGACGTCGGGCTACGCTACCCAACAAAAGATTTATTCACATTTAAATGCTGGAATGCTCTAACGATAGCCCATTGTGGTTTTCCAGCAGAAATCACACTGTCACAGTTTTTTAATCTCACCCTGTACATGGTCTGAAGTTAATTTTCCTATGGATTTTATAGTCATAGTTCTTTTCCATTTGAAAAGATACGGGTTCTTTAATGTTGTTTCAAGAAATTGTACGTTTTATCTAATATTTTGATGTTTCGAACTTCTTGGTAAATTTAAGTTGTCCCATTGAATTGGTTTAAGAGAATTACTCCCGGTGTTAATACCTCTATTGTGGGAATATTTCCGTTGTCAACGATACTAATATTTGATTGCAAGTATTATCAATAATTTCCTTTAATATTTTGATGGGCTTAAACATTATTTAAGGTTCTAAAAATTAATTTATAACAGGTTAGAACATTTTGAAAATTTATTCTGTCAACAAATGTGTCAAATTTAACTGATTTTGTTACAAGTTTATAAAATGGGGTATCTTCTGTTGTAGGAGGGCTTATAATAAAAATTTGAAGCAATCTTTATTCCTATAAATTCTTCATTCATTATGTCTCTACAGTGTTTTTTTACCGAAGATAGAATAAATAAATTTGCTCTCTAATATTTGTCCAATGTATGGCATACAAGAAGTTTACCACTTTTGTTAGTTGACCATTCAATATTAGAATAGATAAGAATAATTCTGTGGCTTCTACCGATAGATTTAATTTTTTTTTTTTGGTGTTTTAGTCACCTTTTTACCCATTATGTTTGATACATCCTTGTATGGAACTGTCAATATAGGTCTAAGTTTTGGTATAGTCTCCATATGTATAGCACTTTTTACCGGAAACATCACTACATCCTATGACAGAAAGTTGCTCACGCAGGTATTCGTCTTTGTATAGGCCTCACTATAACGGTAACTCCCTATATGTGGTATTTTTATGATTGTAGAGCAATTTTTCAAAGGACTTTTTTTTTTTAATTTGCATATTTTTCCAAATGGTGGAGGGTATTCAATGATCGGTCGAGCGAACTCATTTTTTATACCCTATACCACAAGGTAGTCAGGGTATTATATCTTTGTGCATTTGTTTGTAACATGTTAAAGGAAACGAGATAGACATATAGTTATTCTTGATGATCTGCATAGAATCACATTCTGAGTTGATGTGGACATGTACAGGTCGCATTTTCTGTTCCAGATGAAAGTAATTTGTTTGAGGCAAGGACGAACCCTATTCCTCTCATATATATCTTCAACCATTTTGCTTTTCATTGTACACCAAACGCCTCATATCAGATCAAATTATATATATATATATATATATATATATATATATATATATATATATATATATATATATATATATATATATATATATATATATATATATATATATATATATATATATATATATATATATATATATAGTTCATCTGATTTGTTATATTTTTTATTTGTTCGTAGAAGAACAAATACTTTAAAAGCCGTAATTTAACTAAATCAACTGCTGCTTCTCACCTTATCTGATCGATGGCATAAAGATTGCAGAACAGGAGAACTTAATATCTCTTTTATAAATGACAATATTTGAGGGGTTATATTGTTCTTTTATTCAGTAACACAACGAAGTATCGAAGACTGTCGGACATTTCTACCTCGACTTATAGCCTATTCGCAGAATGTTTGCTTAAGTCAGATAAGGCATTGCTACTCAGACAATAAAGTTTTCATTTCAGTTCATTTACTTTTTCCGTCTGGGAGTAAAAGCTAATTTCCGTAAAAAATGTGTTTGTTTGTTTGTTTATGTTTAAAATGATAGACTCCGTTGGTTTTGGATTTTCCATTGTAATTAAAAGTGTTATTGGGGTGACGGAAATGTCAACCTGATCCGCAAAAGGAAATTTGGCATTGAGTTTGGGTCAGGGATGAAAAATAGGTTTTTCCAGATTTGGCAGTCTCTCTACAGGTCATAATTATAGACCAATCGACGCACATTGGGTTGAAGTTCAAAACAAGGAAGGAGCGCACAAGTTTGGATGGACACGGGATAATCTATGTGTTTAGATTTTGTGAATAAACGATTGATATTTTTTTGATTGTCTAATTTGGAATTTCGTTTTGTTTGTGTTTGGATTTGTTGAACCAAAATTTGCTTATAGAAAAAAACTCTTTTGTTTACTTAACAGGCTATAAGCTCTTATTTAAAGGTTTTTTTCTTATTTTTGTAGAATAAGAAGAATTCGAAATATTTATTTATATTATATCATTTGACTATGGGACTCCTGCATCTCTTTCACAAATTTATGTCAACTTGATGGATATAGTTTGAACTTCTAGAATTATTTTTTGCATCCAATCTGAAAAAAAATTGACAATTATATACCAAAGGCTTTACCATAAAAATTTATACTTAATTCGCCTTGCATTAATCTGAGGCTTTCTTATTTTTTTATATATTTTTTGGAACGTATATCTATTAGAATTATCCCAACGGTTAAGCGTAATAATAACACCCAAACTTTCAACTGGAAATAAAGTATTAGATACAAAAAAGCTTTTTACCGGCTTCAGTCAACTTGTAGTACACTTCGAAATGCTAATTTGCAATAAGTTCGAAATATATACTACTTTCCAGAGAACGGCCCTTGTAAGCCATCATCCACATCAAATATGCCTGATGAGCCGCTTAACCAACGGCGAAACGCGTCGCATAGTGGTGAGTGTGTGATAGTGTATATCTGGCTTTCCTTTTCACTGCAAATTTCAGATCATTAAGCTCGTCTCGAAAGAGAAAACAAACACTTAAATCATAAAAACATATGATCTTCGCCTTAACAAGGCAAAACTCAAAAACTTTTTAAGTTGACTGTGCTTGTTCACCCTACTTCGATCACTGATGACTAAAACGTAAAGGAAGAGGCAATTTGTTTATAATTTGGCATTTAGATTTTGCCAGAATATTGCTCATCTAGTAGTTTATAATGGCAGAACTTTGTTTATATAGGTCCAGGTACTCAGTATTTTAATGGTTTAGTCCAAAATTTTCATCGGAAGTGTTACACATCCAATAATGTAAGGAAATGTCTGTCTAGTCAAATGTCTGTCTAGCTCAAAAAAGGTAAAAGTGAAAGATTCTTGCACGCAAATGCACAAAACTAATATTGTTTATAACTTGAAATTTCCGACTTTTAACACAAAACAAAATTTTAACGTAAAGTAATAGATCGGAGAACTGTGGTGATTGTAGAATATAGGCAATGTAATCCGAATGTAAAACAGGAAAAATGCTTCTAAAACCTTCGCGAAACCAAAATGCGAGTTTATTTTTTGATTCCGGAAAATATGTCACTCGCCACATATAATATTATTTGAAAATGCTGATTTGTCAGTGGAGTATGCGAGTACAAAAAATTAATGTATAAATTATTGTACCACACCATAAACTAAATTTGGCATTTACAAAAGACAAATTGGCATACACTGACTCGATTATTTCCTTCACTGTCTAGCATTTTCATATTTTTGATAATACAACAATGAAATAAAGAGGCTGTAAGTAAACAAAAATGTGAGATTTACGTAAAATGCAACCCTTTAATATTTCTATTTGAAAGTATACTCATCCGTTTATTATAAATTGGCTACTTATATGTATATAATTAATAAAATAATTTATGTAAATGTGCTGAATTAAATTAATACTTAGAATAGCTGGTGAAATCGTCCATATTTAAATTTAAGTCCTGTAAGTATTCATAAGTCCATTCGTCAAGTTTGTTTATGACGCCCTTTGGAAGTTCATCTTTGTGGCTATTTACTATACCACGTCTAACAAATCTAAATTCTTCAACTTCTCGTCCGGCTGCGGCCTTCATGCTTTCGAATTCCTTTACATGGTTGCAGGCAGGATTATCCTTCATCTTCTCGAATGACAAATGATCAATCATGTGATCCAGCTGAGTATCGGAGATGGTCTTATTAAGAAAACGACAAATATCCTGGATTACACATGGCAAATTAAATTTCATACGCTCGTAACTGGTGAAAAATATTTGAGATGAGTTGCGCATATACCAAAAGTCCAATACATGTGGCCAGAAAGGATTGAAGTTCACATGACCGTCTATATATGACTGCACGAAGTCCTCCTTAGTGCCTTTGTAGCCCACCATGCCCCGCCAATGATGATAATATGAGACTGCAGCGTCTTTGGGATTGCGAAAAACGTAAATTATCTGAAAGTGTTATTGAATCTTTTACTGGCGGTATAGCCACACAAATTACATTGAAAGTTACCTTTGGTTTTTTTGTCCATATTGCTTTTGGCAATAGCATGGCAGGCAGATGTGATTTAAGTAAACGGGGCGATTTCAATCGATTGGCAGCATCAATGGTATCATATGGTACATTTGGCACTACACCGTTAAATCTAAAAATATTTTCAGTAAAAGATTTGATTTGGAATTTTTGTGTCGAAATATTTACTCAATAAATGGTGAGCGAATGGTCAAGTCGATACTTTTTGCGCAGTCAAAGTCAAAATCATTCATTATGAGCCAGGTCATTTCTTGAGCCCAAGTAGTGCCACATTTGGTACTGGTAACAATGTACACATCGTCATCACGCACTTCAAAGTTATGCACCCGATCTAGGACTGGTTTGAAAGTATTAGCTAAGGAGCAGTATCGCTCTTTCCATTCGCCCCATAATTGTACTGGCGGAGGTTTCGTTGGAAAAAAAGCAGAATATCCTCCCGATATGGCAAGTTTATCTATCTGCTCGAAAGGAATACTAACGGCTTTAAAGCTACAATTTTGCATCTGAAATTAAATTAGAGTTATATATTTACAAATTGAATACAACCATACTGAAAATAATGTAAAATATTATGGAATAATTTTTTCAAGATATTAATCTGCATATATTAGAGATATATTAAATTTGACTCTCGAGTTACGCACACGAGATGAAAACACACTTTACATATGTTTTTTAAGAGTTTCGAGTTTAATACTCAACATTATTTCTTGGACAAAATTTCCAAACAAAACTGTATATATCGTACTAACTTTTCAGTTGTTCAGCAGTTCTAGTTCATATTCAAGTTTTTTTTCCTTTATCGAAAAGGATAACCGAAACATGATTACTTTTTCTACCAATCTAATCTGAAAAATCTTTCGTTTTGAATTTTACAGAAGGGCATATTAGATAAACTCTTGCACAGTGGTTCCACATTCAATTTTTCTAGCCAAAAATATCTTCCAATGTTGTTCTACACTAAAAATGACCTCAGTATCAACTTTCAGGATTCAAGCTCGTCAAATTTAGTACCAAATACGAGTAGTACTTTTCGAAAAATCACTGTATACATTCACATATCCGTCTCCTTCTTTCAAAACTATATACCAACAGTGGTCTCCATATCAAATTTAAGAATTCCAATTCTGTCCTAAGACCCAACTGTAAACTTTTCGTATAGTTATACTACACATGTCCGAACCCACCTCCTTCTCTACACCATGGACACCAACAGTGACATCGATACCAAATTTAAGAGTTCCATCTCTCTTCGGTACATTTTGTGGCATTTTGCACTTTTCGTACGTTTATTGGACTACTGGCACCAAAAGTGACATCCATATTAAATTTCAAGATTTCAGCTCTATTCCTTTATCCAATACCAAATTTTGTAGCATTTAGTATTTTTCGAACAACTGTACGCATTTCCAAAACCACCTCCATATCTCAATCCCAGATACCAAGAGAGACCTCAATATCAGAGAATTCCAGATATATCCCTTCACCCAATACCAAATTTAGTACAACATAGTACTTTTCGTTCAATTATAGTAAATATTTCCAAAACCACCTCCATATCTCAATTCCAGATACGAATAGAGACCTCAATATCAAATTTGAAACCACCTCCATATGTTCAGGCTACGCATGAACTACGACTAATACCAATTTTCAGATTTAAAGCACTATCAACTCACCAAATACCAAATTGTATCAAATATAGTACTATATAGCACTTTTCTTGTACTTAAGTGCACATTTCCAAAACCACCTTTTTATCACAAACCTACAAGGGGACCCTGTTATAACAAAAATTCAAAACTCAAGCCTCATCCGTTGATCCTAAACCAAACTGTTCCAAATTACCATTCAATGGGCTATATCGGTCCACGATATCGTATAGCCCCCATATAACGGTAACCCCCGATATTCAGTTTATTGACGGAATTGTCCGAAATTTCACACAAGGAGTTCCGTGTGAGTGCTTTATCCCCTAGGAGAGAATAAATTATATAGGTCCACGATATCGTATATCACCCATACAACGTACCCCCCAATATTCAGTATTTTGACGGAATTGTCTGAAATTTCACACAACGAGTTCCGTGTGAGTACTTTATCCCCGGGAAGAGAATAGACTATATAGGTTCACTATATCGTATAGCCCCATATAACCGCCCCCCCCCCCCCCCCCCCTTTTCGGTATTTTGACGATTTTAGATACATTTTTCAATGATATTGTCAGAAATTTTACACAAGGAGTTTTTCGTGACTACTTTACTCCCTGAAAGAGAATTGTCTATATAGGTCCACAATATCGTATATCCCCATACAACGTACCTCCCAATATTCCATATTTTTATGATTCCATATTCTTATGAAAAATATGTCTATTCAGTGGAAGTGTGTGAAATTGTACTGCTTTTTTAATTATTTTTTTTTTTTTTTGTAGTTCTATGTCCGCAAGCCTGTTTAAATATCTTTATCTTTTAAACGAAATGAAGTAGGTTTATAAAATGATGAGATGCAGTACTTAGAATTTTCGGTATTGAAAATGGGCCATATAGGTAAACGTTTTGGTATAGCCCCCATATAACTGTACCAGAATATACAATAACACAATTTTAAACCAAATTTGGTGTTAATTGCAAACACCTGTCGATATAGGTCTAAGTTTCGGCACCCAATATTAGGTATTTTTCCGATTTTAACGATACTGTGTAAACGTCATTTTTCGTCAAGCTCCGTAATAACACATTTTAAAAACTAAAATACAATAGTCTAAAAACCTTGTTGAAACTTTGAGGTTCAAATTAATATCAAGCGAACGGCAAAACAGTGAAGCGATTGAAATATATTTATATTTCTTTTTAATGCAATAGCCCGTTTAAATATATACGGAACAACCTACATTATCTGGATTTATTGCGTTACGGTAAGCATCGCAGGGTCAGCATTATTACTGCGGTACACTCCAAAGTCAAAAATTTTTCCGAAAAGGTGTCCTTAACATTTTGCATTCGGACAATAACAAAAAAAACAAGTAAAAAAGCAGTAAGTTCGGCCGGGCCGAACTTTGAATACCCTCCACCATTTGGAACGAATTAGAAAATTTTCAAAAAAATAAAATCCAATAAAAATTCTTTTAAAATTTTTAAAATATCTAATATAGGAAGGTGCCGATATATGGGGGGATATACGATATTGTGGACCTATAAAGACAAATCTATATCTGCGTGTAAAGTACTCACAAGGAACTCCGTGTGTGGATTTTCAGACAATACGATTGGAAAATATGGCTAAAATCATCAAAATACCGAATATCGCGGGGTACCGATATATGGGAGCTATACGTTATCGTTAACCTATATAGCGAATTCTCTGTCGGTGGGTAAAGTGCTCACAAAGAACCCCTTGTGTACAAAGAACCCCTTGTGATCATTCCGTTGAAAAATATGGCTAAAAACATCAAAATACCGAACATTGGGGGTACCGTTATATGAGGGTATACAATATCGTGGATCTATATAAATAATTCTCTGCCGGGGTATAAAGTACCCACAAGGAACTCCTTGTGTGGATTTTCAGACAATTCCGATGAAAAATGTGGGTCAAATCATAAAATACAGAATATCGGGAGTTACCGTTATATGGGGGATATACGATATCGTGGACCTGTATAGACAATTCTCTCTCAGGGGGTGAAGTACTCACAAGGAACTACTTGTGTTGATTTTAAGACAATTCCATTGAAAAGCGTGGCTAACATCATCAAAATACCGAATATCGGAGGTTACAGTTATATGGGGGATATACGATATCGTGGACCTATATAGACAATTCATTTTGAGGAGGTAAAATGCCCACAAGGGACTCCTTTTGTGGATTTTCAGACAATTCCGTTGAAAAATGTGGGTAAAATCATCAAAAACCAAATATCGGGGGGTACCGTTATATGGGGGCTATACGATATTGTGGACCTATATAGATAATTCTCTGCCGAGGTATAAAGTACCCACAAGGAACTCTTTGTGTGGATTTTCAGACAATTCCGTTGAAAAATGTGGGTAAAATCTTCAAAATACCGAATATCGGGGGGTACCGTTATATGGGGGCTATACGATATTGTGGACCCATATATATGTAATTCTCTGCCGAGGTATAAAGTACCCACAAGGAACTCCTTGTGTGGATTTTCAGACAATTCCGTTCAAAAATGTGGGTAAAATCTTCAAAATACCGAATATCGGGGGGTACCGTTATATGGGGGCTATACGATATTGTGGACCTATATAAATAATTCTCTGCCGAGGTATAAAGTACCCACAAGGAACTCCTTGTGTGGATTTTCAGACAATTCCGTTCAAAAATGTGTGTAAAATCAGCAAAATACCGAATATCGGGGGGTACCGTTATATGGGGGCTATACGATATTGTAGACCTATATAGATAATTCTCTGCCGAGGTATAAAGTACCCACAAGGAACCCCTTGTGTGGATTTTCAGACAATTCCGTTCAAAAATGTGGGTAAAATCATCAAAATACCGAATATCGGGGGTACCGTTATATGGGGGCTATACGATATTGTGGACCTATATAGATAATTCTCTGCCGAGGTATAAAGTACCCACAAAGAAATCCTTGTGTGGATTTTCAGACAATTCCGTTCAAAATGTGGGTAAGATCATCAAAATACCGAATATCGGGGGTACCGTTACATGGGGGCTATACGATATCGTGGACCTATATAGATAATTCTCTGCCGAGGTATAAAGTACCCACAAGGAACTCCTTGTGTGGATTTTCAGACAATTACGTTGAAAAATGTGTGTAAAATCATCAAAATACCGAATATCGGGGGGTACCGTTAGATGGGGGCTATACGATATCGTGGACCTATATAGATAATTCTCTGCCGAGGTATAAAGTACCCACAAGGAACTCCTTGTGTGGATTTTCAGACAATTCCGTTGAAAAATGTGGGTAAAATCATCAAAATACCGAATATCGGGGGGTACCGTTATATGGGGGCTATACGATATTGTGGACCTATATAGATAATTCTCTGCCGAGGTGTAAAGTACCCACAAGGAACTCCTTGTGTGGATTTTCAGACAATTTCGTTCAAAAATGTGGGTAAGATCATCAAAATACCGAATATCGGGGGGTACCGTTACATGGGGGCTATACGATATCGTGGACCTATATAGATAATTCTCTGCCGAGGTAGAAAGTACCAACAAGGAACTCCTTGTGTGGATTTTCAGACAATTCCGTTCAAAAGTGTGGGTAAAATCATCAAAATACCGAATATCGTGGAGTACCGTTACATGGGGGCTATACGATATCGTGGACCTATATAGATAATTCTCTGCCGAGGTATAAAGTACCCACAAGGAACTCCTTGTGTGGATTTTCAGACAATTCCGTTGAAAAATGTGGGTAAAATCATCAAAATACCGAATATCGGGGGGTACCGTTATATGGGGGCTATACGATATTGTGGACCTATATAGATAATTCTCTGCCGAGGTATAAAGTACCCACAAAGAACTCCTTGTGTGGATTTTCAGACAATTCCGTTGAAAAATGTGGGTAAAATCATCAAAATACCGAATATCGGGGGGTACCGTTATATGGGGGCTATACGATATCGTGGACCGATATAGCCCATCTTCGAACTTGACCTGCCTGCAGACAAAAGAGAGATCTGTGCAAAATTTTAGCTTCCTATCTTAATTCGTTTAGACTGTAGCGTGATTACAACAGACGGACAGACGGACAGACGGACGGACAGGGCTAAATCGTCTTAGAATTTTACGCTGATCAAGAATATATATACTTTGTTGGGTCTAAAATGATTATTTCGATGAGTTACAAACGGAATGACAAAGTTAATATACCCTCCATACCTTTTTTGGTGGAGGGTATAAAAAATATTTGCTGATGATAATACATTATTTTCTAATTCACTAATATGTATTTTTATACCCTCCGCCAAAGATAATATGTAGGGTATATTAAATTCGCCATTCCGTTTGTAACTCATCGAAATAATAATTTTAGACCTAACAAAGTATATATTTTCTTGCTAAGCGTAAAATTTTAAGAAGATTAAGCCCTCTCAGTCCATCTGTCCGCCTGTTATAATCACGCTAGAGTCAAAGCGAAGTAAGATAGGAAGCTAAACTTTTGCACAGATTAGTCTTGTCTGCAGGCAGATTGAATTCGAAGATGAGCTATATCGGTCCACGATGTCGTATAGCTCCCACATAACGGTACCCCCGGTTCGGTACTTTGTTTATTTTAGTAACACTTTTTATCGAAATTGTTTGAAACTTCCTATTTAAAGTTCGTAATTGGTACTACAACATATGACAAAAAACGTCTTCGTCCAAAATGGATAGAGGACATTAAGGGGACTCAATAACTCGTGTTATACACGAAACGATGACATTTATGTCTCAGCAATATGTTACCATTCTCAGAGACGTAGCCGAGAAGAACCAGGAATTGTAGATTATGTAATTGAACAAGAAGTATTCCATTTAAAAAATCTGAAAATTTTTTAATGATAAAAAAATCAAAATTGATTGGTGAAAGTTGTCTAAAGATACAGATGTAGAAATTGAAGAGGGGTCTATTTCATTTTTCTATAAATGTGATGTTATTAGTATTAAACGAAAGTAATACATCCGTCCTCTATAACTGGAACCTCACGCACATTTCAAAATTTTCCAAAAATTATCTTATATCATATAAAGGGATTCGAAATTATAACTGCTCTGAACCCATAATACACAATTGTTGTGTAGTTTTGCCTAATGTACATAGTGGTATATGGTATCATATAGTCAGCCCAGCCGACTGTTCGCCTTTCTTTACGGGTTTTCAATTTTTTACTTTAATTTGCCGCACACCAAAAATTCAACCTTGTAGGAAAAAAATGGACAAACAAGTAAATTTGGCTGTATAAAAATAGGAGCATGTTGCCTGTTGTTTAGTTGGTAAATACAGGGTGAGATGAAAAAACTGCAACCAACTTCAGACTGCTGACATTTCTAAGCCACTCGTCCGACAACCGTTAAAATTATTCCAGTGACATTTTGGTGAGAATTTTCCAGAAAAAAAGTTATTCCTAATGGAATTCAAGCGTGATAGTGTGGTTTCTTTATATTTGGCAGGAAAGCCACAAGTGGCTATCGTTAGAGCACTCCAGCATTTAAATGTGAATAAATGTTTTGGTTCTCGTACCATCACTCTTTACCGTAATACTGGCCTGACGTCAAGTAAGTGGTCGGAAGAAAACAGCAACATCAACAGAAATGGTTCGAAAAGTAAAGAAGCGACTTGATCTAAACCTGCGTCGCATGGGCCGAAAAATGGCTCGTGAGCTGAAGATATCGCAATATTCCATTCGGCAAATATTAAAAAGTGAGCTCGGTGTAAAGCCATTGAACTGCCAAAAAGTGCAAGAACTTACACCGCAACACAAAAAAATAGACTCAAAAGAGCTAAAGAGTAGCTTCGCTTGACCGAAAGTGTTGAACTGCCGAATTTGGTTTTCTCCGATAAGAAAATACTCGTTGTCCAGCAGTTTGTAAACAAACAAAATTATCGTGTTTACTTGCCAAAGAGGTCAGCTGAAGGTGTATTAACACAGCGTGTATTAAAGCCTTGGGCACGCAAACATTTTGGCCGCAGACTTTGGACATTCCAACAGGACTCAGCACCATCGTACTCAGCACGCGCCACGCCAGTATGGTTACAAAATGAGGTTCCTCGCTTCATGGACCACAATACCGCAGAACAACATTCGGGCCGTTTGAAGGACATAGTTCGTGCCTATGGCCTTCCTGAAAACTTTGTTTTTTTCAAAAAGTGGAGAACATGACTATAGATTCCCAAAATACATGTTCAAAGTTGATTTCGATCGAAAATTTTCGATATCGAATGCGAGAATTTGTCCCCAAATTTGAACCAAATGAGTATTTTTCATCAATTATAAACACAAAGCAAACAGCAACGAAAATGATGGATGGGAATGATGGAATGACCGCAGAGCAACATTCGGGTAGCGTGTGACGATTTCATTGGCCGTTTGAAGGCCATAGTTCGTGCCAAAGGTGACCAATTCGAACAAATCTAAACTTATTTTAAAATTTGATGCTATTTCCTACATTTTAAAATTAAAAAAAAATGTAAAAATTATGGCGTTTGACTTTGTTGCAGTTTTTTATCTCACCCTGAATATTAAAGGAGAGTATTGAACATTCGCTTTGCTTAGAACGTATCTACATTTGAGCGGTTGTTATAAAGAGTTTGTTTACAAAATCTTTAACCGTGATATTTTACAAATCACAATACATTTGGCGTATATTTCCCGTAGTCAAACTATCGTGATTGGTTCATAATCAGGCTTAACCCGGATAAATATTTTGTATGCAAACTTACTTTAATACAGTTTTGCGTTGACGACAATAATGCAGTATTAAAAGCTACATCACAAATTAAAACACAGCGTTGGTGTAATATAAGTCAAACTGAAACGTCGATGCTGCAGGAAGCTAATTAAAAAGAAAGTGACTATTAAAACCCTTTATTAAAGTCATTTGTCAATCTCGAATATTATTATTCTCTTCTTTCGGAATTTTCAGCTAACGTGTAATATCGAGTTGTCTTCCCCAAACTCTTCGTAGCATTTATGATGCACGTTCGAAAACATTTTACATTACATTTTATTGATTCTTATAAAATCACTGCCAAGTTGATACAAAGTCCCTCACCAGAAGTTCGAGATTATTCACTTGCTGTACAACATGTAGTACATTAACAGTTCGCAAAATTAAAGTTAACGATTGTATGTAAGTATATTTAAATCCGATTTTTTTAACAAAATTTGTTAATCACTTTGATGAAATGTTTCAATTTTGTCACTTACGACTTCTAGAACAATTTAATTGAAAATTATACACTTGCACTAAATTGTTATTGATTTGAACAGTTCAAATCGAATGTTGTCTTCAGACTGCAACGTAAACGAGAACTGTTGTCGTTTAGAGTAAGAGCAGAATCAAAGATGTGGTGTATTAAAACTACAAATTATCAAATACATATTGGTTTCTTTGTATGCATATCACTCACTTAGGTGAAAAGTGAAACACTTCAACCTTTATACAGTAAACTTTCGTTAAAATCAATCCGCATGAATATTTTCAATTATTTTAATATCTCACGGTCTTTGATAAGAGTTTGTAGTTTGTGCATACAACATACCGAAAAAAAAACTGAATCCAAATACGGAAGGTTCCATCCATGGAAGCTGTAGAAAAGTTATACCATATTCCGTCCCAATCATTCTAGATATAGTAGAAATCCATGTGGCAAATTTAAATTACACACATAAAGTTATGTGGACTACATTGTGAATACATGCAATAGACCCTAGAAGATGTAAACGGAGTGAAAAAAGTAATACTCATAAATTGCTTTGGTTTGGAAGCTTGCCGAAAGATATATATTTCAAAAGGCAATTAAACGGAGTTGACTGTACAAATCGACAAAACCGGTTTATAAATTATTTCCAAGCTACATCTGACCCATATTAATGCGAGCAACATTTCCCGACAAAATGGTATGTGTGAATGTGACTAGCCAACATTTTTTATTGATTGCCTCCCTTTGTTATCATCCGATGAAGTTTCGTTGTAAAAACGAAAGTTTGCTTATCTTGTGACACGCTTGATTTCTTTGTGCTCACCATCTGCTTCGAGGTGAGATGCCAGAGTGCTTCTTAGTTATTTCTACTCTGTCATTCGTGTTTGTATACAACCTCAAACTTTGTGTAGCTATGTATGTACATACATATACTACATACATACAAGTGTTAAAATCGATGTTAAACACTTCGGCATAAAAGTTAATTGAAAAGTTACAGTGTCTCAATGCATTGTTTTACAATATTCCATGGCAATTTGGCGTAGGATTCTTTTATTTATATAAGTTTTTACGATAAATAAGGCAAGAAAAAAACAGTTTTGCTTGTCCTGGCAGAACTTTTCATGCTCTCCGCCATGAAGTAACCAATCGAAAATTGAATTACTAGTTTCCTTTCGATTATGAAAGTGCTTATTTTCAGAACTTGAACCTACTTCAACCATTTTCAATTTCATTCTGATTTGTTTAATATGTCGCTAATATCGTAGAAATGCCGGATTGGAGAGTTGGTTTTATATAGAGGCTATACGATATAACCCATCTTCGAACTGGCAGACAAATGAGACTTATATACAAAACTAGCTGGCCCGGTCCGCGTTGCCGGCCCGTACTTTTAGTCTTTAAAGCATAATAAATCACAGATCTGACTTATGTAGGCGGCACAATTTTGATTATAAGTAATGACTCCATTATAATTCCTCCAATTTTCATTATATGTAATGACTTGATTATGAGTAATGACTCCATGTCTAAATATAAATTAATGTTCATGGCAAAAATTATAATTACCGTCGGTTTTAGATATTTTGAATAGCCTGATCTTATTTTTCAGCTATAGACTTTAATTTGAGTGTTAAATACCTATATGATAAAGAACATCTATAATAGCCCCATGTGAAAATTCAGCTCAATTTTTGATGTTGTAAAAAGCATTCAAATGAGCTATAATTTGAAATTTGTATTTCCAACTTTTAAAATCTCGTACTGCGTGGTATTCAGTTTTGTTCATCTCATACTTGAAGGCAGAATGTTGTCAGAATAGCCAAAAAAAATACTCTTTTGCTCCGATTACCGTAAGATGGGCATTAATTGTTTGTCATTTAAATTGTGCGGTGGAGATCCAATAAAGTTTCTTTATAATTTCGTATTTTGGTATGTTTCTGCCACAATTTCCGACTGAATGAGTCCCAGATTGACATTTCGGAGTTTATTTCATAAAGACGTACATCCAAATCTACGTTCCCAACCAATATTCTCTTGGGTGTTACAAATTCAATAGAATACCAAATTTTCATTTCTGACCATACATTGGTTGGGAAAGTGGACTTGGGGGTATACTAATGTGGGGTCTATACTTAAATAAATTCCTATGAGGATAACTATCTGCAAGATGATGTTCTACCCCAGGTAGCCTCAAGACTAAAATGCGCACTTTTCCGAAAAATAAAAATTTTATAAGAAGAGGTTTTCTTCCCCCTTAGAAACAAAGATGTCAAATAAGAGCCAAAAAATGAAAAAAGTGGCCAAGACCCCGAAAATACCTTAAATTATATGATGGTAATACCAAAACGTGATAATTTTTTGCAAAGATTGTTTCTTCTTAAATTATCAACATAAGCTAAAATTAGTACGAAAAATATGGTTAAAATGTAGAATATACTTGAAATCGGGTTGTTCCGTTATCAGGGGTTATGACCCATATCACGACCTGCCAAAGCGATTAAAGGTATCTTGAATGTTTAGGTAGAATTTCTATTTTGCGTTCTTTATAGTCGGTATTTGACTGATTGCAGTCCCAATGTATTTTGCATTTTGTGTTCTCATTTGACAATTTATTGTCATATGAAAGAAGCAGGTCCACTTTTTGAAATAAACCCCATAACGCTTCTTCGGTCATTTTTGTTTGTTTAAATGTCTTCGCATCTTCCAGCTGAAGCACGATGTAGGTCCTGGAGTAAAAAGCATTTAACATCGTATTGCGCCCTCATTTCATTTGTAATATTATTCATTCAGAATTCAAACCAATAAAAAAATGTACACTTCAATATAGAAAAAAGAAAAATAATCTTCAACTGGTTCGCTGATTTTTTTGCGGCAAATTTTTAAAGGTCCTTACGAAGTTTGTCGGTAGAATGTACTATTATTTTGAAATTCGATTCCATTGAAAAATTGTAGATTTTTCCCGATTTTAGAATTTTCATATAAAGCGACAACGGATAAAATTGTTATTTATAGATTTTATGTATTTATTGGGTATTACGAATAAATACATAAAATCTATAAATAATAGTTTTATCCGTTGTGGCTTTATACTACCCAAAAAAAACCTACACATCATATTAGAATTCAAAAAAAAAAAAAAAACACTACAAATGTACATTCGAAAATAGTAAGTCAAAATGGAAAAAAATATGCAATATAAAACACTACTATTGTACATTTTAAAAGTCAAAAAAAAAAATGTTCAAATATCATATTATTACACGATTTTTTTGGATTTTATTCTTTTCTGCCAAGAGGCAATTCCGAATTTGTCTAAATAGTTAAAATCAGACCGGCGGTCTTTATGTTATAAGAGTAGTAACTAACACAACTTTCTTTTACATATAGAGAGATAGATTTAAAAGTAGGCGAATTCCTCAGCCCCTAAATAAGTACTTAGGGTTGGATGGAAAGCAAACAGCATCTCGTGTAATAATTCTCAAACCGATATCTTCACTATTTTGGCAAATATAAAGATTTTAGATAAATCGTAATAGTGGCGTAAAAGGAGGCGTGGTCAATATTTTTTCCTAACTCGGGGTATGACGAACGTTTGTACAAAAAATTATGCAAATCGAACCAGCCGTTTTCAACTGATTCCGTTACCAACAAACAACAATTGATTTTTATATATATAGGTTCAGCTCTAGCTCATTTTTTCCGGTCTTTACCACAGATGGACGAATATCGATAGTCCATCATTAAATTTGATGCTGATCAGGAATATATACCTTTATTACGTAGTTATAACTCTACGTGGTCATTTTTATACCCTCCACCTTTGTTTCTACTGATCTCATATTGCGTATAAATTAGTACATGCTTTTATTACATATTTTGGGAAAGGCATTGTCCCTAAACTCGGATTCTAAAAATTGTCCTTCTTTTTATTAAAAGTGAACAAATCTGTAAAGGATCAAAAGTTTTTAAAAATTTAGATGAATTTATATTAATATCAAAGAATTTCAATTTTTGATTTGCCAGTTCTGTATAAAAATTAATGTATGTGCTAAATATTTTGTTCAATTAATGTTTGAGAAGTTCTGTTTAGGAAACAATATATTTTGCATGTAAAACAAAATATACATAATAATCCAGAAAAAAGTTGACCTTAAAGTCTGTTAAATGAATATTATCTCTAATAACGTCCTCTTTGATGAAATTACTCAAAACGCTTCCAAAAAGTAACTTAGAGTGGAAAGTACTCATAATGCCGATAAATCGGCAGCCCTGCTCCATGGTTTCCTGTAGGCTTCATATAACGGCACCGCCCGGTATGGAAGGTATATTAACTTTGTCATTCCGTTTGTAACTCCTCAAAATACTCACGTCAGACTCCACAAAGTATATATATTCTTGATCAGCGTAAAATTTGTAAATGGGCCATGTAGGTCCACGTTTTCATATAGCCCCCATATAACGGTACCTCCCGATATTCGGTATTTTGATGATATTAGCAACATTATTCACCGGAATTGTTTCAAATGTGGTGTTTGAAGTTCGAAATGGATACTAGAGCCTAAGACAGAAAATTATCTGTGCAGGTACACGTCTTCGTATAGCCACCATATAACGGTACCTCCCGATATTCGGTATTTTGACTAGTTTAGGTACAAAACCCACCGAAATTGTTTGAGATGTCGTATTTGGACTTCGTAATGGATGCTACAGCCCATGACAGAAAATTGTCTATGTTGGTCCAGGTCTTCGCGCAGCTCCGATATAACGGTACCTCCCTATATACGATATTGTTTTAGCTACATTATTCTCCGTTTATTTCAAATTTCGAATTTGAATATGGTAATGGCTTATAACAAACAATGCCTATGTAGGTCCACGTCGTATAGACCCCAATAAAACGGCTATTCGGTCAACTTCGTTCCAAATGGTGGAGGGTATTCAAAGTTCGGCCAGGCCGAACTTACTGCTTTTTAACTTGTTAACATGTTCGTTTCTATAAAGTTTATAGTCATTTTGATTTTAGCGACATTATTTAACGGGATTGTTTCAAATTTGGTATTTGAAGTTCGAAATGGATACTACAGCCTAATACAGAAAATTGTCTGTGCAGGTCCACGTCTACGTATAG